TTTCTGTTTATTTTGAACGCCTAAAGGAGCACAGAGCTAGACGCTTACTGAAGTTTCAGTAATGGCAGTGATGTTACTTCCTATAGTGCGCGGTCGGTAGTCTCACATTTTAACTGTGACCTATTTTCCGGCCTTAGTATCGGTTAATAAATAAGGCAAAGATATACATGTGAAAACCGACAAGTTAGCAGATGAGGCAGGCAACGAAGATAGTGTGACGTAGGCTACTGACAAGATTCATCAGTAGTAAATAAAGCGACGTTCATCGCCACAGAAATATCAAATAGTGGGGGATAGATTTGACTTTAATGTGTTTCAGTGTTTCGGTGAAAAATGGAAGACACGGGAAAGAAGACAAAGAAACACACAATACGAAGGGCAGAAGTAGCAAGCACAACACAGAGGATCTGTGCAAATGATGGTCTTAACATAAGGTAAATATAATTTCTGATGTGGTTGTATTCTCTGAGCTGGAGAGTTAGTTTACGAAGCTTTCATCGTCCTACTTACCAGGCGACATCTTCAGCGCATACTTCAATTCGTTGAAGTGAGCTCTTAGATTCATCCACGAGTTTATTAGTCATCTCTCCTGGTGAGTGATCTTGAACGTGACTCTTTGGTTGTTTTTGTGTGTTTTCACAACCTCTAGGCTACTTGTATTGGTAATGATTGTTTCCTTGACCTGAAGTTTGACCCTTAGTGTAAGAGATTTTCTTCTTATCGATTGGTAAATTTTGTATGTCTCAATGTGACTATTGACTGATGATTCGCTGGAATACCAGGCAGGATTCTAAAAATTCTCTGGCATTCTTGGTACTTCCTCTGTCTAATATTTGATATATACGTACATCTCAGAAATCACTGCAAGACTCGTCAAACCTCTAGGAACTGACGTCACACACAAACCAACAAAATCACTTCACTCAGCTTGCTCCATGTCACACACACGCCGCTACCTCATGATCATAGATACGAAGACGAAGGGGACGTCCACCTTGGTAAATGTTGTGTTTTTAGCACTTGTTACAGTTTATTTTCTAGATGATGTTGGTTTTATCTTCTTTCGTTGTTGAGTCTTTTGAATGGCATAGAGCTTACTAAGTGAAGTGATTTTGTTGGTTTGTGTGTGACGTCAATTTCTAAAGGTTTGAAGAGTCTTGCAGTGATTTCTGCGGTGTCCATATATATCAAATATTAGACAGAGGAAACAAGAAGAATGCTAGAGAATTTTTAGAAGCTTGCCTGGTATTCCAATGAATCATCAATCAATAGACACATCGAGATAGGCAAAATTTATCAATCGATAAGAAGGAAATCTCATACACTAAGGGTCAAACTTCAGGTCAACGAAGCAATCAGTTCCAATACAAGTAGCCTAGAGGATATGAAAGCACACGAAAACAACCAATCACGTTCAAGATCACCCACCAGGAGAGCCGACTAAAAGCGAACTTGTGGAGAAATCTAAAAGCTCACTTCACTTCAAATTGAAGTATGCACTGAAGATGAAAGCTTCGCAAATTAACTATCCAGCTAGCTCAGAGAACACATCCACATTAAAATCATCTACCTGAGCTACAAATCTTCTCCATCATATCTAAAGTGTATAGAAAACTGCGAATAAACACTCCGTTACCAAGTCTTTTGTCTCCTCCTTTTACAATAGGATTTCAAGTGAGTATAAAGAAGACAGAGGTGATGAAGATTGCTAAAAACCAACAATATACGTCGACGACCGTCAGAGGTTGAGATTGAAGGGAGGTCGCTTACTTCATTTATGTAGGCAGAATCGTTTTTACTACAGCTGGGACAGATGAGGATTTCTGAGGCAGGATCAGAAAGCCAATGGAGACCTTCATTAGTCTCAAACTTGTCTGGAAATCTACTCCACCCAGCACAGGGAACAAGATCCAGATTTTCAACACCAATGTCAAGTTTGAGAGTGCTTCGATATAGTTTAGAGACTTGACTCATTTATCAACGAAGGCCTTTCCAACAGGCTGCTGCAGGCTTTCTTCAACAGCTGTCTTTTCTGGCTATAAAGGATGTGCAACAGAGAATGCTGGAAACCATCTAATTAAGGACCTATTTTCCACCCAATATATGCAGGAAGAAATGGAGGTGGATGAGATGCATGCTGAGAAGACAGTTGAGTAACTCGAATGGGGAACGACGAGAAGGGTGTCATTTTAAGGGTGAAATGAAGGAGATCGCTCCAGGAGGAGGAAATGAGGGCTTACAGGCAACCACAGAGTCAGGTAACGAGGAGTGATTACAGATGACAGGATGAAATGGTGATGCGTTCCAGTTGGAACCTAAGGGAATGATAATATGATATAATAAACTAGGAGAGATTCAGAAGTGCATCGCTCAGTAACCGAACCAGGACCTGGCTGGGTACCAT